TTGTCCCAGGAAATCTGGGGCAAATGGTGACCACATGACCCCTGTAGTTCCAGGGCCCTGAGCCCAAAGTGTTTCATCCCAGTGACACCTAGGGTGTAAATCTACAAACGCATGGTCACGTCTTTAATGGGGCAGCAGGGGGTGGGTAATCAATCAGAGCTCCTTTCCAGATTCATCTGGGGTCCTCTCTCTGGAAATACTTCCAACCTGGGACCCTCTAGATGTCATTGTCCTAGGGCTTGTTGGGTTAAGGAGTACTGCTAAAACACTTTTTAAAAATCCGCTCTGAACACGTATGTAAGCTGGAAAGAAAACACATACACCTTCACTGAAGTTAGAAATGTGAAAAGGCCGCTCTATCCACCAGTTGTCTGAAATCCTGAACACCTTCTGGGCTTTTTCCTATTCCGATGCTCCGCGGAGGGACAGGGTCTCTCATTCACCATCTGAGCGACCCGGCGCTCCTATCTTCCCCCTTAACATGCCCAACTCTGCTCAGCTCGGTTTGGAAATCACCGCAGGACTCGACAATCTGCCCCCCGCCCTGCCCCAGACTCAGGGAGAGACCCACAACAGGAAGAGGGGAGCTGATGTATGGGGCGGGGGCAACAATCCCCTCCTTTTTAGCAGCCTTTCCTGCTCCCCCGTCAGGAGCCCCACTGGGCCATGCACCTCCAACACGGGCAGGGAGCTACACCCATTTGTTACAAAAAGGAGGCATCAGACTCTGCGTTAAAAAACAGACCCGCACGATGGGAATGCTTTAATCGTCACCCACACAGACGAGCGGAAGCTACAGACAGAGAGCCACTACGGATGGTGCTCGGAACAGAGGCGAGAATGGCCCAGAACTCGGCCTCTGGTAAAGGTGCCAGGTTTACAGGACTCATGGCGGTGCCCTCACCAGACCCCTCCTCCTCCTCCTCCTCCTCCTCGGCCGCGGGCAGCTCCTGCATCTCCTCTGGGAAAGCCTGAGGCCGGCGTGGGTAACTTCTGCTGCCTGAGACAGTCACGCGTGCTCGGGACCCCTCACCTGAGGTCTCTGGGTGCTGAACTGGCGTGGAGGTAGCTAGGCCCGGGAGGGAAATGTGGTCACCTGTGTCGTCTTCCTCAAAGTCGTTAAGGCAGTACACTTCGTCCAGGTCAACGTCCAGTGTCCGGAAGCCCTTGGTGACCACACCGGGCCGGGGGTCCAGGATGCCCCCGAGGTGGGGCTGGGCCAACTGCTGCCAGTGGTGAAGGGTGGCGGAGCCTTGCAGGAGAAAGGGCAGAGAAGGGGGGACAAGGCAGAAGAGAGGGTTAGGATGCGAGTCCGAGCTGACGGCTGTCACCACCCTCAGAGTGCGGAGCGTGACCCTCAAGCGGGCCCTGAGCCTCGTGGGTGAACTCTGGCAGGGACACCGGGGGAGTGGCCCTGGCTCTTGCTACCGTGTGACGGGCGATCACCTTGCCACGCCTGGGACGGACACCAACTGAAGGAATCAAAAACAAAGCTTTTTACACAGTAAAATGAAAGCCATAAGGCGTGGCAAGGATGTCTGGTGACAAACTTTTAGTCAACCCATTGTCAGTCCCCAAATCCAACATCGTATCAACTTAGGAACTGGAGAGGAAAAAAATAAGCAAGACCAGGTACGAAAGGGCGGGGAGCGGGGGAGGGTGCAAGTACAGAGTCTATGCCAAGTACGCACCGTTGGGAACACGGAAGACAGAAGCAGAGGCAGAGGAAGACCATGTCAACTCGGGACCCACAACATGAGAAAAGCAAAAGGCAATTAGAGTAGCACACAGAGATAAGCCGTAGGCACGACTGTAGTCTTCTTTACTTATTAGGGTTTCTGTTTTCGACCAGCAAACCTGATAGGCTGCAGGTTTGGGAGAGGGAAAGGGAAAGGGACGAACTCGGTGTGAGTGACGAGCATGTAAGTCCGTACAGAGGTCTGAAGCAGAGGAGATCTCCTTAGTGACACCAGACCCTGGGACTCAGATGACATCGTGCAAGGTCTGTAATAACACCGGAGTGTGTCCCTGAGGACCTCGAGGGTGTCATGGGTGCTCACGAAGAGAAGTGTTCCAAGAACAATTATGCTTAGCAAACCTGGGTTGACAAGTAGATTTACGGAGGAACATCTCAAAATCTTTGGTATGTTGCTATGTCCTGGGATTCTGGCCAATCCATTTGCCTTTTGAAGAACAACCCCTTCCCCTTTGGAACATTTATTACACCTCGTGTGGCCCAGGTATGATGGCCCATGAGGCTGGGTGTCTGTCCCCATTCTACAGATGAATTAGTGGGTCACGCAAATAAACATTCTACTCGAGAGACTTTGAGAGCAGTTCTCAGGCATAGGAAAGCAAGAGCCTTCCTGCACCAATGCCTCCCAGTTACCACTGGTTAACCACCCAGTTACCAAGGATGTCCTCTATTGGGCAGGCAAGAATCCCTCCAAGGCCTCCAGGGGCACATCAGAAAGGGGGACCAGCGAGCCAGGAGCCAGCAGCTCAGGAGTCAAGAGAAAAGAGAAGGAAAACGGTGGCAGGCATCGGAGTCGGGGATCAGTCCAGGAATGTGAACAAGATGCGGGGAACCCCCCTCAACGGCAGCTCCTGACCCTGTGGCGTGCCTCGTGACTGTGCTGCCTCCAACATACCGCTGGGAAGGAACTTCTCAGGAAGCAGTCCCGGCCGGTGAGTCTTGAAAGGACTCTGTAAGTGGGCAGTTCCAAACTCACTTAAAAGAGAAACAGTGGACACGCTGCCAATACGTGTTCAGGACAGTCCCTAGACACCCACTTTGAGGCCTGTCCCAGTTTGAAAGGCCACCTACTTACTCTGAATCTACTGCATCGACATAGAAAATATCCTCAGTGCAAAAGGAGTGAGATCATACAGAGGCACAGAGGACGAAAGAGAGCATCACATCCCTGCTCCCTCACTAGCTGCTAAGAGACGTCTAGAGCAGTGGTTCTCAGCTGGGGACATCTGTTAACATCTGGAGACATTTTTGTCACAACTTGGGGGGAAGGACGGAGCGCTAAGGGCATCTCACGGGTAGCGCCCGGGATGCTACAGGATGATGCCCAGGACAACCCCAACAACAACCCGGAATGGCCTGGCCCCAGATATCAGCAGGGCGGAGACTGAGAAACCCTGGCCAGGAGCTGTGGTCTCAATTCTCAGACCCTTCGAGAACCTGGAGAGCTCACGGACTCTATCCCAAAAAGGAGCTCACAGGCAAGCGGCAACGTGCGTAACTGTTCGGGGCTTTGCAGACATGCTGAAACCCGCTCGCGGGATCCTGAATCCTAGATGTCACGGCTTCATTTTTTTTTTTTTTTCATTACCCTGTATGGAGCATGCCTGTACAGCAGCTTCTTTTAATACGTATTACGTCAACTCACTGCTCCAAAGCCCTTGATGAGGGAACTGAGGTGCACTGAAGTTGGATAATTTTTCAAAGTCCTGGAGGGGTGGCATAGCCAGAGGTCAGTGCTACAGGCCAGGTTCTTTCAATCTCACACTGCCTGCCCCCCAGAGTCCACAGGTGTGTAAAGAAGGATACCCGTGCTCCAGCCAGGAACCCAGACTAAGCGAGAAACCTAAGTGGTGGGCGGTAAAACTTCCAGGTGGCTGTCCAAGGCCCGTCAGGAGACATGCACACACAGCTGCCGATGGAATCTCTCCAGCCACCCCCGGAGACCCCCATTCATAATGCATACTGCGCCCTCTGTTCATGTGTTCACTGGAAGCACGGGCACATTCCTGGCAAAAACACTGCACTGGGGAGAAGTCTTAAGGCCCTGTGACTTCTAGCTTGGGACCGCACATGCTGGTCTTGCCGCAGGATGACCAACCCTTGGGTCCAGAGTGGCCACGTCACCTCTACTTTTGGAAGGGGAAGAGAGTTGACAGACACTGGAAAGTGAAGGACCGTGCCAAGAAGTGCTAAAGGCCCTCATCCTTCCGGAAGGGGCTGAGATGTTTACGAAGCACTGGGAAGGAACTCAGGGAGGCAGGGGTCTGGGCCCGGACAACTGTCCCAGTCAACAGATCAACTATCTGCTCAACTAGCTGTGCAACAGATTGCCCTCATCCTGCCCCACCCCAGGCATGGGCTCGAGAGAGAAATGAGGCTACGAAGGGTTTGCTGCTTGGGATTCAAGAGGCTGCAGACGGACATGGGGTTATTTGCCTTTCCCGAACATGCAGAGCCGAGGGAATTTAGTGAGACTGCAGTGGAAAGACTATGCTGACATATGCATCATTCTTGGATTTTGGCCCCTGTCTTGGGCAGCTCTTATTCACATCAAACAGCCAACCTTTACTGAGCACTTAGTAAGGGCCAGGAGTCCTAGGAGGTCTACATTTATTAACTCGCTTAATCATGATCACCCTGTCCTCGTTTTATAGATGAGGAAACTGAGCACAGGGAGGTCAGGTAACTTGCCAGAGGTTGCAAAGCTGGCAAGTGGCTAATCTGGGTGGGATTCAAGCCCATGCTGGCTCCAGTGTCCAGCCTCTTAACCACATACACCGTCTCTTGGCCAGCAGTGAGGAGGCCTCCTGAGTGTGAGTTCTCAGAAATCAGGTCAACACCACACCTGACTGGCTTCTTCAGTCCTCACACAGGTGTGTTCCATGCTGCAAAAGTGACCGTTAGCGAAAGCCTTCGCAACCCTGTCATCTGAAGTCACGTCAGGCTGTGGAGCTCACAGACCATTTCCATTCCTGACTGGTTCTGAGGCCCCAGAAAGGTTTCCTGAGTCCAACACCTGGGCAAAACAGCTAGCTCCCCCTCACTCCCCCTGCCACTGCCTGGTACCACCATGTTGGAATTCTTACGAATCTCCTGGCTGCCTGAAGTCCTGCCTTGGATACAAGATGGAGGACAAATCAAAAATTAAATATGAACGGCATCTTATTCAGAGCCTTGGCTGCCTCTTTCCTATTCTCCACACCCCGCCCTGGCTTCCTTCATCTGTAGAACACAAAGGAGAAGTACTATTAGCTACCTGTCATCACACCCCTCCTCCCCAACCACATGAGAACAAGGCTGGGGGGCAGGGAAAGAGAGGAACTTCCCTGTCCCAGTTGGCACCACGATGAAGCTCTATGAAACGAGCGTGTGGACAGCAGAGAAAACACAGTCACCACACCTTTCCTTCTGTTTGCTTTCCCTCCACATCCCACTGTTCTGACTGCAAGTTTTTGTATCATCAAAGGAAAAGAAAACCAAATCCATTTATGTCAGAAGAGTACCTGGGACTTAAAAGTTAAAGCTAACCTGTTGGACAAGGTCTAGCATAGCCTAGAAGTAGATCCTGTCCTCTAATTACATACTGACTTGTTTTTGGGGAAATACCATCTTGGTATTTCCAGGGGGTCGGGGGGAAATACTGCCCAACTCATCTCTTTAATGCAGGGCTGTCTCTTCTAGTCTGGAAAGTTTTGTTTGTTCTTCACTTGCTTAAAACACCTAAGGTAAGATGATGAGACAAGAGTGCTAACCTTAAACACCGAGCCCAGCTATGTTGGCTGACACCAATGAGCAGACAGCAAGATGAATTAAATAGGTAAGGGAGACACAGATTGGCTATCTGCTGTGATCCCAGCCAACCTCCAGGGGCCTCACCCCAGGCACGTTTACCTGGGCCACCGAAGACCAAAGGAGTCCTATCGGCTTCTGAGCAGGCTAGCAGAAACGGATGATGTAGGAACACGGCCCCAGCACAGTGCTGGTCCGGGTTCTCAACACCGGTAAGGCCACCCTCCAGACCTGAGCTGCTGCAATAGGGGCAAGTGTGGGGAACCTGAGTTTTAATTAGCACCTATTAGGTGCCAGGCATAATACAAAACACATCACATGGACTCCACACCACAATTTTGTGTGGCAGATGTAAGCCTTATTTCACAAATAAGGGGGACAGGGCTCAAAAAGGTAACTTGTCTAATGCCACAGAGATGCGCTGAACCCAGTGTCAGGCAGACTTCTGTGTCAGCACTCCATCGTATCATATTAAACATAGTAACACAAAAAATAATTGTGGAGGGAAGGAAGAAAGGAAATATTGGTTGTATTTTAAACAGCTAAGAAGTCAGAGAACTACAAAATGGAGGACAGGGATCTCTATCATGAGAATGCATGACAGTCCATGGTGATAAGATATGACTTCTTAGTGGTGGTGATTTAGCATCCTGGTGAGCTGGGTACTATCAATGAAAGTCACCTAGCAAATCTAATGGGATTTCCTCTTATTCTATTAACACAAAAATACTGCTAAGTCACAAGATTAAAAGAGGAAAAAAAAAGATGAATTGGTCGAAATAAAAGTTTAATAATCTCTTCCTGCAATATGCTTGGAAAATGAATCCAAAGACATATTCTTAGATGATCTAATGAAATACAAAGTCAAATACAGAAATCAGACAAAATAGAGATGATAATTCCAATGAGCTTTAAGAGACAAAGGAGAAAAAAAGAAAAGAAAGGCAGAAAGTAAAATTGCAGAAATGGAAGATTTTATTGAAAGAAAAACAGACATAATTATGGATCAGGAAACAATCACCAAGCTCACAACTGAATAAACAATTAAAAAAAGAATGAGCCATCCCTTTTCTGAAATCTAATAAGGGCCTAAATTATACAATTAAAAAATAATCACGAAGAAAGAAAGTCAGCCCACCCTCTTCCTTCCTTTGAAAACTATATGACCCAGGACCCAGTTAAGTCTTAGGTCTTTAACAAGCACACCCTCATTTTACAGCACACATTCTCAACAGGGGTGATACTGCCCCCAATGGGTCAGAAATGGGTTATTATGGGGTGAAAAGAATCCTAATCTTTTTAGGCAGAGAGCAGAGATATACATATAGTACATCAACAGTATATCTGTCATATTAAATTGTAGGGGTGGCAATTAAAAGCATATGTGTAAGACCACGCCTTAAGAATATAGGTCTAAAGTGATAAATACAGCCTTACCCAGATTCTGACTGGGCTTTGCGTCAGAAATGTAATACAGAGGTACCCTCTCAAACTCACATGGGTTTCCAAACCAAAGGAGTCAAAAATGAAAAATACCAACACTGGGTGGCTCTTGCCAGGGTGGTGGTAAGTAAAGGGAGGACATTTATAATGCCTGGAGGACAAAGAAAGAAAAAAGGTGAAATTTCCCATGAGTTTAATCATCCGGGGTGTCCCTGGAACTGAAAAGTAAATTGCCCCTGGGAAAGGCAAGCTTAAGGAAGCGCGAACTCACCGGCCTCCGCGGCCGCCCCCTGCCTGGCCCCCCAGTGGTGGAGGCGGAGGCGCAGGAGGCTGGCTCGGATCACACCGCCAAGGCGGAAGGAAGAAAGCCACACCCTCCTCACTGGAAGACCAGAAGCAAAACGTGTGAGCCCACCAACTGCAAATCGCTTTCGCATGGTTACTGAAAAAAACTACTTCCTGCGCTGCTCTGCACCCCTCCCCGACGCCAACGTTTGTGGGGGGGGGGGGGGGGGGGGTCCAAGCATTCATTCCCGGTGCTTCTCAGACCCCAGGCGTGACCTAATTAACTTTTCAGTACCTTAGCAGGGCCTCTGCCTCCCGCAAAGAGGTCTACTTCTAAGGTTCTAAATGCAAAGGAGAGAGGACTGGGAAACCAGCGTCAGCACGTTGGTTCCCTGTCTTTGGCCTTGCTGGCCGAGGTCAGCCCGGGCCCGCGTGCGCACTCGCACGCCTGCCCCGGCCGGGCCCAGGCCGGGCGCCACCGAGTCAGAGGAACTCAAACCAGCAGCGCGGCAGGCTGTCGCGGAAGAAAAAGGAGTAGGTGTTACAGAGGCTGCCCGCTTGCCGGTGGTGGATCAGGGACCACAGGCGGTCGCTGAGGAGGGTGGAGAGGGGCCGAGGCCCCCGGTGATCACCTTCCAGCGGCTTCACGATCTGGAGTTTCTCGGGCAGGTAGGAGCGGCTGCTGAAGGACATGCCCGAGAAGCCGGTGAACTCGGAGAAGCGGGAGTGGGTGCCGAGGGACATGATGCTCTCCGTGGGCGTGAGGGAGCCGCTGAGCAGCTCGCCCTTTTCCGCCAGCTCCCGGAGCTTCCGCTCCTGCTCCTCCTCGAAGAACCTCCGCTCCGAGAGGTAGTTCTCCCGGCGGAGGGACAGCCGCCGCAGAGCGGTTTCCAGGTCGTGGGAGCCCGGGGTGCCCGGCGTCCCGGGCTTCTTGCTCCGCTCGTCATTCCTGCAGAAGGAGGGAGATGGGGCTGAGCGTGGGGCACCCCGCAGCGGGCACGGTGCAAGGTGCGTGTGGCAAGGAAGGCCTTCCTGCTAGGTGCACGGGGTGGACAGGTCGGAGTGGCTGCAGGACGGATAGGGAAGCGGACGAGGCAAACAGCTGAGATTTAGGCAAAAATGGGGGCATAAATGATTGCCCGGAAGAACTAGTTCCCTCTGGTGGGTGTTTTGGGAGGTAGAGGGAGAGCACTAAGGTGCGTTAAAACAAACAAAAAAAAAATTGTGAAAAGAACTCCCGTTGCTATAAACCTCTCCCTCAGAAGCCCTTAGGGAGAATTCTTCAGGATGCGGGTCCTAGTCACCAGAAGGGCCACTGGTTCCAGAGGCGTTTCTCTGTCCTCTTGAATTAAAAGAGCTGTTCTGATTAAGCAGTTTCCCCCAATTTTATTATCACGTAAAAAGGGTACACAACACAGCTGGCGCGCGCGCGCGCGCGTGTGTGTGTGTGTGTGTGTGTGTAGGGGTGGGTCTGCAGGGCTTTAGGACAAAGAAGTGCCCACTGCTAAGGAAGCCCCACCCCAGGGACAAGCACCTTTGAGGGGGTCCAGGACCCCACCTTCCAAAGCAAACTAGACTCTGGCCAGGAGAGAGAGACTGAGTCCTCCTCTACCTTTTAAACATCCAAGCTACCAAAGGGCTCATGAAACAAATGTCCATTCTGCAGCCCAACAGTGAAGATTAACGGAAAAATACTCATTTACCCTCCCCTTCAGCATCTGACAGAGAAGCAGACTTCCTGTTGTACCTCTTTAAGCTTGTGAAAATACCAGAATCGAGAATGACTGTAAACACAGAGTGTTGCTAAACCAGATTAAAACACTGAAAGCTCTAGACTTTTCCCGTGACTCTTTATCAGTCTTCCTCTTCTGGTGACTGAACTTACACTCTAAACACACTACCTCTCCCCAAAACAGCCAGATAAAAACTCTGGGCTGGCTCACCCCAGGTCAGCTGACTCCGCTTCCAGGATGATGCTGTTGGTCTTGTTGTCCAGGACCACGTTGCCAACATCACTGCCATAGAAGCTAGACCGAGGGGTGCTGACGCAGCTGGACAGGAGGGAGTTCACGGCTGAGGACTGGTTGGAGCCAGGGATGTTCATGGGGGACGGGGTCAGAGACCTCTGCTTGACGACCTGGTTGATGTTTCTCACCGTCTCAAAGACTCGCCTCTGGTGACTGGGGGGAATGCACAACATCATCCATGAATAAACAAATGCAGGAATGACCATGGAGTCCAACCTTCCAGAAACTACCATCTAGGAGCCAAAAGGCAGCTGGCCCACGTGAGCCCCCCAACAACCTGCCAGCCCGTGCTTCCGGTGTTTCTTAGGGCATTGGCTGGAACTCAAGAGACTCAATGCCCACTGAATTCAGGCCTCTCATAAATACGTGGTTGTGTCCTAAAGGTGATGCTAGCAAGGGGATACTGCTTTTCTCTCCCTTAGGCTTAACCCACAAATAAAAATACTGAAGTAGGGCTTTTGTCTCCCAGATACTTTTCCTCTTTCATGACGGTCACCAGAACGTAAAGTCCAAGAAAGCAGCGTTCACTGCTCAACACATAACAGGGCTCCAGAAATATCTGTGGAATGAGTATCTGGTGACCATTCATATACATTTAAAAAATGCAAGATGAAGTTAGTCTTAAACTTCTATAAGGAGAAGGTAAACGCCAGATTAATATTTTTTTAGCAACTGCTATTTCTAGGAGCAGAACCTCCCTTTGATGCTCATTTGTTTCTGTTTAAGGAGACAAGGTAGGCACGTTGCTACAACGGCCACCTCCTTCTGGGATGCAGAGGCCTTCACATATGCACCGAGGCTCAGGGACTGTGGTCACTCCCGGGATCCCATTTCAGTTCCGGGTACAGAAAATACACAATGAAATCGGATCCACAGTGTCCTCAGAAACACCTCAGGGCAGGCCTTGAGCAAGAGCTCACGTTAGGAAGAGAGTTGGTAGAGGCCAATATCCCTAAACATATCCAGGAAGGAAGTGGAAGCCTGGGCACTCCTTGAAGAGCCTTCATACTGCATCTCATTTTTCTTTTCCTAACAGACATTAAAATTGCTTAAAGCTTAAACTTTAAACACCTTTCGGTGTTTTTCACCAAAAGGAAAGATAAAAACAAGTCGTGGTGTCAAGGCAGAGTCTGTAATTAACAGAGATAAGAAACATCTCTCTCCTTACTCAACTTTCTAGAAGTTCATAACCTATCTTTGAAACCTAGTAAGAGTTGCTGGGGGCTATTATCGGCTGTGTTCTCTTGTCTCACTTAATCTGGACCCAAATCTGTGGAAGGACCACAGTGATCACTGGGGGGTTGTCTGAGACCCAGACGTTGTTAGTTTTGATGACCACGGGGCACGAGCCAGTCTCTGGGAAGCCTAGAACCGAGGCCGTACGCGATGTCTGGAGACTCAGGTTCTTCCAACTGCAGCTCCTTGCGCATCGTTCCCTCGATCTCTGCTGCCAAGGAGTCCTGAGAAAAGCCAGAAAACACACTGAGTGCACAGCAGTTCAAGTGCTCTGTCTCTAAAAGACGCGCCCGGCTGGCTAGCCACAGGAGTGTCAACCGAGGTCTCAGAGGCTTGCAAACTACCGTGACACAAGACTGACGGCATTCATCACTGCTGGAAACCCTGACTGAGCAATCCCCACGGCAGGTCCCGAACGGAGCAGTCCCGGTGGGCAATGGGTGTAAAGGCCCTGTGATCCCATGCAGCTAAGGGTCTCAGAGCAAACTCCATGTTCCCTTGGCCAAACCACAGAGCTGTGACTCTGCCACAAGGAGTGGCAGGGAACTTAGGGAGGACGGGACCTGGGTCGTGAGCACTGGCATCTGAGCCTCTGCTCTCATGGCCCTCTGCCCCCGGCAAGAAAAGCTCTCCCCGTCAACAACACATCGCCCACCTCCCTCTAACGGCCAGCTCACACGTCCTTTCCACCAGTAATCCTTCATTCCTCCCCCTAGAAAGACACCAAACACATGAAGTCCCTGCGAGTTCCCTGAACAGTAAGTCCACTTAGATCTCTCTCCAGCTAAGTTGTGAACTTTGTGGGTTGGGGGAAGGCCTGGCACTGATAACTTCTCACTTTCCGGATGGGCCAGGCCCCAACCTGAGACTCAACAACAATACAGGCTGCCTCCCTGACCACCTGCCACTCCTCACCGTATCAGCTGGAGCCTAACAAGCAATCCCACACGCTGCCACAGGTAGATGCCAACAGGAGGACCAGGTGTGTGCAGCAAAGCACCTGCCGAGGCCTCAGAGAAGGACACCACCTAGGACAACCTGAAGGGAAGGGCTGACTCTGTACTAACCAACACATTTCCTGGGATGATAGGAATGTGCTTTCTGCACTGTCCACTGCGGGAGCCACCGGCCCCAGGTGGCTATTGAGCACTTGAAACACGGCCAGTGTGGCTGAGAACCTGAATGAACCGTACTAATTTCAGTGGATTTAAATTTGCATGGCCACTTGTGGCCAATGGCTTCCCAGCAGACAGAGCAAGGGACTCCAAGGTGTCTACCTCCAAGCCCCAAAGTCAGGGAGGGATGCTCCAGTCTGGAACCTGGGACCAAGTGGGGAGACTTACAGGAGTCAGCAAGAAGCTGGGTCAATAAATGGGTTAGTGGGCTTGTTTTCAATTCCTATTCATAAGTGGGCAATTTTATTTAGTAATTACTACCCACAGATTGACAGTCAACAGAACCCAGGTTGTAAAAGGCTTCTCTGGGTGAACAGGACTGACTTTTTTAAAGCCAGTTTACTATTCATTCATTCATTCATGCATGCATGCATGCATTCATTCATTTTCATTCATTCATTCATTCATTCATTCATTCATTCATTCATTCATGTATTTGTTTTAGAGAGAATGCACATGCAGGGGAGGAACAGAGGGAGAGAAAGGGAATGCCAAGTAGGCCCCATGCCCAGCGTGGAGCCCAACACAGAGCTCGATGTCATGACCTTCAGATCATGACCTGAACTGAAATCAGGAGTCTGACACTCAAACAACTGAGCCAGCCAAGCATCCCCAGTTTACTTTACTTTTTTTTTTCCCCAACGTTTATTTATTTTTGAGACAGAGCATGAGCAGGGGAGGGGCAGAGAGAGAGAGAGAAAGACACAGAATCCAAAGCAGGCTCCAGGCTCTGAGCTGTCAACACAGAGCCCGACGTGGAGCTCGAACCCACGAAACATGAGATCATGACCTGAGCCAAAATCAGACGCTTAACCCACCGAGCAACCTAAGTGCCCCTAGTCTACTTTTCTTAATACTATAATTCACCACACAGCTTACATTCAGAGCTCTGCATGAGGAAAATATCTTCACACAAATTAGGAGAGATAAGATACTAAACCACCAATTTCAAGGCCATGCTGGGAGGATGTCGCAAACAGGCTCTATGACTTTTCTTGGTTGTGATCCCATCCGGCAGTCTGGGGAGGCCATGGACCTCTTCTGAGAATAATATTTTTAAGTGAATCTAATAATGAGGACAAAAAGGAAGCCAGATCTATTGAACTAGTTACAAGAATGTTAGTAACGACGATGGTGAAACAAACACACAGGCTCTGGCTTCTGAAGTAGAGCTCAGCATGAACAGGAGTTTTGAGACATTTACAACTGAAATGTGCCATGAAAGTGGCTATGATTTCAACTGGTGACAAAATCATGGGGGTGCTAACATCGCTGTGGTTTGTTGCCTACCTTCACGTAAGAAAGAAACGACTAAGGATTAATGAAAATAGAAGACATGACATTCCCGCAAGTTCACGGGCCCCCTGAATCCGGGGTGGGGATCCTAGATTAGGAACCCCTGCCATAGGCAAGAGAGCTGGGGATGTACTCCTCAGGCAGAAACTGCTACTCACCGTGCCACTCAGCAGTTAGAGAGTCTGGGAGCGAGAGAGGCAGCTCTGGTGTTCTGCTCCAGAAACACAAGGCATGGCACCACTCAGCTTGCCTTAAATACCTTTAATACATAGTGCACTTTAAAAATGGCCATCTTCAAAAAACTGAGTTATGCCAACAGCTACAGAAAAAGGCAAACAGAAGCTCTACCTCAGCAAATATGAAAGCTGAGGATCTCTGCAGAAGAAACCCAAATACAGATTTTTAATTGGACTTCGCTATGTAAGGGCTTCGTTTTAAACTACGGGTCCATCCCTGTGAGTGGGGAATGCTGTGGGGCAAACCCCAAGTGCATGGGAGATAAGATGCCCCCCGGAGGTCACCACGCCAAGATGGGAAGCCAGGAAGGAGGGAAACTGAGGCAGGGAATGTACATCGCCACGTAGGACAGTCTTTGAGCTCCGTGTCATCAGCTCTAGGTGGAGGAATCTGGGGCACAGCCTGTCCTTAAATCCCGTAACCGGGATTCCTGGACACGCTGGATCGCCAATCTACTCCTTGGAAGGCTACGTCATACAGCTTCTGTTTTGGTTTCACTAAATTTCAGTCAAGCTGAGAGAGAGAGATCGTTCCAGGCTGATTTTGATATACATGAGCAAAAAGGAAAGGAGATCGTGATTTAGGCAACATGGGGCAGGCAACAAGCGTCAGGGGTAGCCAGAGTCAGCACCGGCGGGGGAGGTGGGGGGGTGTGAAAGGCAAGAGCCCCAAGGAAAGGCCAAATCCGGAAGGGACCGAGTTGCACAAACACTGAAGCTGCCATCTACTCGTATCTCATTTGGGAGTATTTCTCTCAAAAGTCCTCTCCTCAAAGAGACCGTGGTATTCCCTCAAACCACGGAAATAGAACCTGAATATAAAAGTTCTCAGCACATTGTTCTTCAGTCTGTTTACCCACCCATCCAAACCCAGTGTCTGCTAAGCATCTACACTTCTACAACATGTGAACACAGTGCAGATAGCAGGCTACTCGACAGAGGGAAGGAGAAGAGAAGATACGGTCCCCACCTTCAAGGGGTTTTCCTCTGACAGAAGAAGGTAAGATGAGGAAGCTCACCAAGTATCACAGGGAAATGAGCGGCAGAGGGGGGGCCTGCCCTGGGCTGCCCGACCCCAACAGGGAGGGGCCAACCCGGAAAAGCCGCTTTTCCACCATGTTTCCTCAAAGCCCAAACATGAAAAGAGATCAAGCCAGAGTTAAGAAACAAGACTGAGGGAAAATCATTTTGTAGGAATGTAAAAGCAGCTCCTATAGTGGGGAGAGAGATTTTTTCAGATCACAGATACTGAAAACCACCAAGAGAACGATTAATAAGCCTAGAAACAGGGGCGCCTGGATGGCTCTGTCGGTTAAGTGCCCGACTTCGGCTCAGGTCACGATCTCGCGGTTCGTGAGTTCGAACCCTGCGTCGGGCTCGGTACTGACAGCTCAGAGCCTGGAGCCTGCTTCAGATTCTGTGTCTCCTTCTCTCCGCCCCTCCCCCACTCACATTCTCCCTCCATCCCTCCCTCCTTCTCTCTCTCAAAAATAAACATTAAAAAAAATTACCAAAAAAATAAGCCTAGAAAGAACCAGCAGGACTGTATGGGCAATTTAAGAATTCTGGAATGCACGGTGAGGCCAAAATAGCTCATATTCTAACAAGGTCAGAAAAATAATAATGTATGAATAACATCTTCCAATTATCTGAGGTTCCTACGAAATTTACCGGTCAAGGAGAAGAGGAGGAAACACGACGGAGTCAGAGGGATGGGAAAGAAACAATCACGTAGTCAAGGAGCCACCAGCTGGGCACACAAGCCCCTGACTCGGATGGAGAGCCAAGCTGTGGGACCAGAAGCCTCCCACAAAGACTATGCTCCAGGCCCCGCCTCCCTACGGGGGCGGGGGGGGGGG